AAACCTTCCATTACCCACTGACCTCTATGTCATTCTTTTTTTTTTTTTTTTTTTTTGAGGCGGAGTCTTGCTCCATTGCCCAGGCTGGAGGGCAGTGGTGTGATCTAGGTTCACTGTAACCTCCGCCTCCCAGGTTCAAGTGATTCTCCTGCCTCAACTTCCCAAGTAGCTGGGACTACAGGTGTGCACCACCACACCAAGCTGATTTTTGTATTTTTAGTAGAAACAGGGTTTCGCCATGTTGGCCAGGCTGGTCTCGAACTGCTGACCTCAGTTGATCTGCCCACTTTGGCCTCCAAAAGTGCTAGGATTACAGGCGTGAGCCACCACACCCAGCCTCTCTATGTCATTCTTATTCTTTAGAAATGTATTTTTTGTATGCTGCTAGAAGGTGAGCCTGAGTCAGGGATTTGGGTGCAAGCATTTTTTTAGAAGGTGATTCCAGGAAGCAAGATAAGAGGGTGAGAAGTGAGATAGGGAAGGGAAGAAAGCCAATAGATGGTGCATTAATGAGCAGGTTGCCACGAAGGGTAACTGGGGCACAATATCACTGAGCCCTTCAGTTGCCATCTGAGGAGTAGGGAAGCTGTGGTATTTATCCACCCACTCCCTTTCCTCATGGCTGTTTTAAAATGCACTCAAGATTTCCATCAGCTATAGTAAGATACACGTCTATGGGAATGACTGTTCTGAAAGAAGGAGTTTTTTTATACTGAGAGGTTCCCAGCAACAAGGGCCATGGCATGCCAGGCAGGGAGACATGGGAAGCACCCTGGTTGGTCAAGAAGTAAGGGGAGCTAGGGGAAAAATGTGGGCAAGAGCTTTATTTGTGGCATCCAAGAGAAAGGCAAGTCAAGCCAGGGTAAGCAGGCACAGGATAAGTTATTAATAGTTTGAATAATTTCACTCAGCTCTGGGACATAGGGCTGTCCCTAGTTGTCTGGTTCACGGTCTTGGGTTGATGAGAGCAGATGGACAGTGGCTCGGTGTAAGAGCCCGATGAAGGAGGTGGTTGGGGGTATGGGCTTTGGATTGGCTGGTTTGCACATGAAAGGTGCACTTGGAGGTGAGTCTCCTACTGTCTCTAGGAACTGGCTAGCCTTGGGATGAGCAGTCTCTCCAGGATCAGCAAGGCCCCAGCTGTCCAAACATCAGGAAATACAGGAAATGAAAAGGCATGATGAATACACTGAGGGTGCTCTTGAAAGCACCGGCCCCTGGCATGTATGTGGTTGGCAATGCCGTGGGGTATGGAGAGGGCACCAGCAGTGTCTGCACACTGTTCTTGGGCCCTCAATTACTACATGAATTTAGAATCAGCCTGTCAAGTTCCACAAAAAAATTCTATTGGAATTTGTTTAGGAATTGCTTGCATTTATAGATTAGTTTGGTGAGTAGTATGTTTCTAGCGTTGAGCCCTCCCATTCATAATATATATGGCATATATTTTGATTTAGTCGGTTCTTTCTGGGTAATTTTTATATTTGTCTTAGGCCCTTTGTAGTGCTATAACAAAATACCTGAGACTGGGTAATTTACAAACAATAGAGGTTTATTTTCTCAGTTCTGGAGGTCCGAGATCAAGGCTTCAGCAGGTACATTGTCGAGTGAGGGCCTGGTCTCTGTTTCCAAGATAGTGCCTTGAAATGCTGGCTCCTCTGGAGGGACAAATGCTATGTTCTCATGCAGCAGAAAGAACACATAACCCACCCACACAAGCCCTTTTATAAGGCCCTAATCTCATCCATGAGGACTTGCTATTGTGACTTAATCACTCCTTAAAGGCCCTACCTCTTAATATTATCATCTTGGCTATTAAGTTTTTTTTCTTGGCCTGAGCTGGAGTGCAATGGCACGATCTCAGCTCGCTGCAACCTCCACCTCCCAGATTCCAGCAATTCTCCTGCCTCAGCCTCCCGAGTAGCTGGGATTACAGGCATCTGCCACCACACCCAACTACTTTTTGTATTTTTAGTAGAGACAAGGTTTCACCACATTGGCCAGCCTGGTCTCGAGCTCCCGACTTCAGGTGATCCACCTGCCTCAGCCTCCCAAAGTGCTGGGATGACAGGTGTGAGCCATAGCGCCCAGCTGGCGATTAAGTTTTAATAAATGAGTTTTGGGAGACACATTCAGTCCATAGCAATACTCTTCATGAAAGGCCTTATGTATATTTCACTAGAAATATTCTCAGGTTTTTGCTGCTATTGTGAATAGAGTCTCTTTTTCTATTGCATTTCCTAATTTGTTATTACTGATGTCTAGGAATGCTAATAGGTTTTCTTAATGTTGGTCTTGAATTCAACAACAACCTTACAAACTCTCTTACTAGTCTTAATAATTTATCTGTATATTCAGGCCGGGCGCGGTGGCTCACACCTATAATCCCAGCACTTTGGGAGGCCAAGGCGAGTGGATCACGAGGTCAAGAGATCGAGACCATCCTGGTCAACATGGTGAAACCCTGTCTCTACTAAAAATACAAAAATTAGCTGGGCATGGTGGCGCATGCCTGTAGTCCCAGCTGCTTGGGAGGCTAAGGCAGGAGAATTGCTTGAACCCACGAGGCAGAGGTTGCAGTGAGCCTAGGTAACAAGAGCGAAACTCCATCTCAAAAAAAGAAATAATAATTAATAATAATTTATCTGTGTATTCTTTTGGATTTTCTGCATAGTCAGTCATACCTATCTGCATATACAAGTAGTTCTTTTTCTTTCCTATTTTAAAATTGTATTTTCTTCATTTATTCCTCATAATTTCTGATGTTGGGCATCTCATAACCTTAAAAAAAATAACAACTTCCTATGTAGTAACCTAACACATTGCCTAGGACGTCCAGTGCCATGTTCAATAGAAACAGTGACAGAAGGCACCCTTGTCTACGTCCTAACTTTGATGGAAATTGCTTCCAAAGTTTTACCATTAAGTATGATCGTTGCTACACATCAAGGAAGATAGGGCTGGGCGTGGTGTTGCACACCTATAATCCCAGCACTTTGGAAAGCTGAGGTGGGAAGATCGCTTGGGCCTGGGAGGTGGCAGTTGCAGTGAGCCAAAATCCTGCCACTCGACTCAGGCCCAGGCAACAGTGAGACCCTGTCTCAAAAAAAAAAAGAAAAGAAAAGAAAGAAAGAAAGAAAAAGAAAAAGGAAGCTAGCTTGACTTATCTGATGTTGACTCTGCCCTTGCATCATTGTAATAAAACCTAATTTATCATAATGTACTGTTTGTGTGTGTGTACACTGCTGTATTCAACTTGGTATTATTTTAAAATTTTGGAATCTATGTTCATAAAAGTTAATAGTAGCTAATGTCTATTTGGATTTCTAATAGACATTAACACTACCCAGAACCAAACAGATATAAACACTACTCAGAACCAAATAGACACGACCCAGAACCAATGTTAAGTTACTTTCTGTGAATTATTTCATTTTATCCTAGAGGGCTTATTGTGAAGGTTATTTTACCCCTTTACTCATGAGGAAATTAAGGCACAGTGAAGGTAAATCATTTTCCCTAAGGTCACAGAGAAGATAATTAGTGGCACCAGGATACAAATCCGGATTGCCTGGCTCCAGAGGCCATGCACAGCCACTGCTCTGTACTGTCTTTGGCAAAGACCCATCATTCAAATGGTTCTATGATGTACTTTCTTTGTACATCCTTGTTCTAGTTTTGTACCAAGATTATATTATTCTCAATAGATAATTAGCTCTTCTTCTTTTTATTTAAAAAAATACATGTCAAACTTCTATAAAAATCTATTTCATCCTGTCCCCTTTGCTGGCCTTTTACAGTTTTGCAGTGGCCTCCAAGTGTTGTGTCATTTTCAAGCTCCTGTCCTGGGTATATTGGGGATGTACACATCCTGCAAAGCAGGGATATAGACCACGGTTCAGCAGCAGGCCCCTGCTCCCAGCATCCTTTCAAGTACTGGGGTTCCCAAGTTCCCAGCTTCTAGCCAAGAGTCTTTTGGTCTTTATCCGAAAGGACCTGCCACTGTCTTCAGTTTCCAAAGCCCAGCAGGCTCCAGACTCTTTGGCCTCCAACCACTTCGCATGTCTTTTCTGGTTTTGGTTCATGGAGACAATTATCTTATTTTGCAGCCTTGCCATGTCTTTTTAATTTACTTTATATATCTGGCTTATTACTGATGCAGTTTGGGGAAGAGAGGATGCCCTCAAACCTAACTTCTCCAAACCGTCCCAAAGAGGAAGTCCGTCAGATTTCAACAATGTTGTTGTTTAATTGTTGTTTTTAAAGACCGTGTGTCAACATGGCAGATTAGAGCAAAATGGCATGGGGGGAGCAATGTGAAAGCGAGACTGAGAGTCCTGGAGAGAAGGTGGCAAAGCCGCCTTTTAACAGGAGGTCACTCCCTCAGATCCTGCCCTTCCTACCTTGGTCCTCCAGTTGTCAGATTTGCCTGTTAGGGCCCACACAGGGGAGCAGGTAGGAGGGCTGAACTGAGAGGGAGATGGAGAAGCTGCCAGTGGCCCTTTTGGATCCAGAATTGAGGCAGCAGTCCCGGCCAGGTCCGGAGGTGAGGGCTGTCCTTCCAGGGAATGGTACTGATTCCAAAAATGTGGCAGGGACACCCTGGCTTGGAGAGGGATGTTCCCCTGAATCACCTGAGCGGCCTCTGTTGAGCCCAGGTTGGAAGGCCCAAGTGGGAGGACGAGGCCAGCCCACCCCAGCCCCGTCCCCTCCCTTTAACGCTGCTCCTTCCCCAGCCGCCAAGCTGGATGAGGGGCCCTGAGCTATTCACCCTCCCAGATTCCACTCACTTTTCCTGAGTGCCCTCCCTGCTAAGTCTGCAGAGAGCAGCGCTCCCTCTCGGCTCACCCTGCAATGTCCTTTCTGTCAGCAAACCCCATGAGTAAGAACTTGAGATGAGTCATTTGCCTAAAAGCATCTTGGAGGTGAGGGAGGCAAAGCCCTAGCACCTCCCCGGCCCAGCACGTGCTCTTCCCCAAGAGTAGAGGCATCCTGTGCTAGCGTCCGCCGCCCTCGAGTCTCCCCAGCTGTACCAGGGGTGCAGGCGCCGTCCTGCCTGCCTTCCTTGGGGAAGGTTGGGAGGCCGGAGCTAGGCGGCCGGCGGGGTCCAGACCACCCACGGGCGTCGGAGCGGAGCAGCGGACCCAGTTCATCCCCCGGGTGGGCGGGGCTCCCAGCTGCTGCCCACGCGGGGCTCGGCTGGGCTTTCCGCGGGGTCCTAGTGAGCGCCGCCGCGCAGCAAACCTCGGGGACCGGGAGGTCACTCGACCGCGCGCGCTGCTCCCGGGTGCCCTGTGACCCGACAGCGGAGCTCGCGGCGGCTGCCACCCGCCCCCCCCCCCGGCCATGAGGCGCGCGCCTTCCCTGGTCCTTTTCCTCCTGTTCGCCCTTTGCGGGCGCGGTGAGTTCTTTTCGGGAAGGAAGGGAGGGGCGCCTGGGTTGGGCTGAACGGGGCTGGACTGGCCACAGGTGGAAGAGAGGGTGCCCTGCGCCGGGAGGAGTGGCCCGAGGCTGTCCTGGCCAGATGGGGGCGTGGGCAGGGCTGAGCCCACTCGCCGAGGCGGCGGGGGCGGGCCTGCGTGCGTGGTTCTGCCAGGTTTGGAGTGGGGGCCAACTCTTCCCCAAGGGCCAGGGCCACCCTGAGGGGCGAGTGCCTGTGGGCTGGGCAGCGGGGCAGGAAGCCTGGGTCATCCCCGCTGTCTGGGAGGCTGGTAGTGCACCAGCTCCCGCTCCCAACAGGGCCGAGGCCCTTTTTTTGCTTGAGGTGACTTTCTTGAAGCATGAGCACAGAGGGGCTGGCCACCAGGGCGGGGTAGGCACTCGGGAGTGAATCTGCTGCTCAGCCTTAGCGAGAAGTCTCCTCTAACACAGCTGTGGTAGAGATGGGGAAACTGGGCCAATAGGAAAGGGGGCTTGCTTAAATCACCAGCCTTTGACTGTTTTGTGCTTTGGGGTGGATCTCCCAGGAAACACGTTTTATGGCACCACAGCCTCTGGTCACCCATCTGAGATGTACTGGGCCTGGACAGCCAGCTGGACTGAAGCCCAGACTGGTGAAGTTGGACCTAACACTCAAGAAGGAGACCCAGCCCTTCTCCTGGTAGACTGCCTTCTCTGGGCCTCAGTTTCCTCACCTGAATTCCAAGGGCCCTCCTAGCTCCTACACTCACCCAGACTTTTCCTCCAAGGCCCAGTCAGCCTAGAGGACCAGGGCTACCTCTTCCTTGGATAGAGACCCACCACGGGGGAGGCAGGAGGTAGGAGTCAGGGAACATACAACCGGCTAATAATATGCGAAGAGGCCATAGCTGGAATTCTAAACCGTGTGAGTGTGTGTGCAGTTTGGAAGGCATATCCAATCTAAAGATTTATACTGAAAAAATGGAAAGATATACTCATCATTTTGGAATACAAACTACAGAAAGTAGTTTGTACTACTCCTCTAGGGAGGTGGAGCTCTCATCTAAGTTGGTGTCTGCAGGCTGTGTGTGTTGTGGCTGCAGGCTGTGTGTGTGTGTTGTGGCTCCAGGCAGTGTGTGTGTTGTGGCTGCAGGCAGTGTGTGTACTGTGGCTGCAGGCCGTGTGTGTACTGTGGCTGCAGGCAATGTGTGTACTCTGGCTCCAGGCTGTGTGTGTATTGTGGCTCCAGGCTGTGTGTGTATTGTGGCTCCAGGCAATTGTGTGCATTGTGGCTGCAGGCCATGTGTGTACTGTGGCTGCAGGCAATGTGTGTACTCTGGCTGCAGGCTGTGTGTGTATTGTGGCTCCAGGCTGTGTGTGTATTGTGGCTCCAGGCAATTGTGTGCATTGTGGCTGCAGGCTGTGTGTGTACTGTGGCTGCAGGCTGTGTGTGTACTGTGGCTCCAGGCAGTGTGTGTACTGTGGCTCCAGGCAGTGTGTATATTGTGGCTTCAGGCAGTATGTGTATTGTGGCTCTGCCACTACTTACTGGGTGACTCTGTGCCATTTCTTTCACCATCCTGAGTCTCAGTTTCCCCATCTGTTCTATGGAGACAATATGGCCTGCCTACATATTTGGAGATGTGGATGAGTGTGGGGCAGTTGCAGTGTTTCTTAGGTGTGGTCCAGGGCAGCCTGCATCACCCCGTACAGATTTCTGGGCCCCACCCTAGGCTCACAGAATCAGAATCTCTGGGAACAAAGCCTAGGAATGTGCATTTATACAAGCATCCAGGTGATTAATACACATGATGGAAAAAGTACTAATAGAATGTGGTAAGCTCTTTATGAAAGGTAACTTCTCTGCTTAAAAAAAAATTTCATAGCTGCCTTTTAATAAATACCGTGTTCCCTTCCTCAGTTAAGGACATACACCCCAGCTGAAAAATCACTGTGCCTTTCCAGATGCAGAATCTAATCTTCACCATAAGAGTCTGTTAACTGTTACTTTCTGTAGTTTGTATTCAAAAACAAAGGGTATATCTTTCCATTTTTCCAATATAAATGTTTAGATTGGATATGCTTTTCAAACTGGATACACACTCACACAATTTAGAATTCCAGCTATGGCTTCCTCTCAGATGGTTAGCCCCTTTCTCTTGGGGAACAGTTTTTCCCATAAAGGCCTGGAAGACAATGCTGGGCAGAGGCTGGTGGGGCCCACTCCGCATCAGAACCATTGGATCATGACTGACCCCTAGTGGCGGCTTCTCTGTCTAACTGTCAGCCCCAGGGCTGCGACGTGAGTCTCCAACCGCGCTGCAGAAGCTTCCAGGAATCAATCCCAGGCCACCCCTTCCGTCTGGGGGTGAAAGGCCTGTTCCTTGTCTTTTGAGCCCAGCTGGCCTCACAGGCATTCAGTAGATTGGAAAGTCTAGGCATGTGCTGTGCTGGGCTGAGCTCCCCCCCCCCCATTTTGGGGGTAAGGGGGGGGTTGCATTCCAGCCCCCAGTATCCCTGCTGTTTATTTGAACCCCTGACCCCCACCCCCATACACTCACAAGTACAAACACTGGTGCAGTCACGGGCACACACTGCCCTGGACAGCAGCATTTCCAGCCTCTGCAGGGCAGTCTCCTTACAGGGAAGTGAGTGAGGCACTGAAGAAGACTCAGGGCTCAGGGAAGCCCTCTGTCAGGAAGAGGCTCCTAGACCTGGTCTGCCTCTGACTTGCTGGGGGCACCTGAGAAAGTTTCTTCCCCTCTTTGGTCTCAGCTTACCCAGCTGAGAAATGGGGGGTTGCGCCAAATGGTCTAAGGTTCTGGGGACCTCTAACTCAAGCCCACAGCTGGTGGTCAAGATGGTGGAGTCCCTCTGGGTCAGCTGAATGCCTGAGAGGCAGGACAGGCCCAAAGGTGAGCCACCTGAGCACATCAGATGGGCTCAGAGCTGTAGCATGAGCCCCACAGCCTGCAGAACAGCCCTGGAGTCAGGAACTCAGTTGGACCAGCCTGGTGCGACTTCAGAGATATAGGATCTAGCCTTCCCTAGTATTGCAGGGCTAGGGGCTGGGAGCTGCAGATCTGGCCCCAGAGCTGCCTCAGACATGCCGAATGGGCTTGGGCAAGACACATGCCTCTCTATGAAATCAGTCAGTCCACACAGACACACTAAAGAAGGGCTGTGGGAGGGACCCAGCTCTAGCCTGGGGCTACGGACTGGCTTCCCGGGTACTCTGGGAAAGGGGTCCCGGGTATAAGAGGCAGGGCTCAGAATCTAGGCCAAGCATCTGTAGGACCCCCCTCTGGAGAGCCCAGGGCAGTTGGGGGGAGGGGCAGCAGGCAGCAGGTGCACAAGGAGCATCTTTCACAAGGCACTAAATATTGCATCTGCTCCACATAGGCAGCGAGTTGGAAAGTGGATGGAGTAGGCAGGGTAGCGGCTGCTCCCCGTGGCCAGGAGTCCAGCCCAGCACCCACCCCTGAGTCCACCTCAGGCCTGCCCATTGGGTTGATCTGTGTTCTGGGCCCTCTGGCCCTACTCACAGAGGGAGGGGTTTGGTACAACTAGGTGAACTGGCCCTTACGAAAGGATGTCATCGACGCCTGAGCCTCTAGCTCATCCCCACCCCCACCTCTCCAGCTCCCTTATTCCCTGATCTTCCCACCTGCTCCCCGGCCCCAGCACTGTTTCCTCCTGCTCACTCTCATCTCTTTTCCTGCCCCCAGGCTTGTCTGCTCAGATGTCCTTGATTTTCCTCTGAGACTCCCTTTCTCCAAGCTGCCTCCTCTCTGCTTTACACATTCTCCCTGAAGACACCAGAGCACACAAGCTAAAGTCCCTGAACCTGGCCTTTACTCCCGGACATGTGAGGGAGATGACATAAAGACCCAAACGCCACTTGGCAAAAGATCAGGGCTATGCAGAGGGGCAGATCTGAGGCTGTGGAAGCTCAGGGGGGCTCCCTGCAGGAGGCTGCATTTAGGTTGGCTCGTGAATGTGGCTCTGAGCTAAGACCTCTCCTTGAAGCTCCAGACCAGGACCCTTCATTTGGTGTCTCAGAGGGACCTTGCACTCTGTAGGTCTAAGTCTGAACCAGGAAAATCCCCCCATCTCAGCTCTGTTTCTTCTTAGGAAAAGCACCACCTCATACCCAGTTCTGCACCCAAACCCACATTTGAGTAATGGGGCTGCTCCCCTGCACTGTGAGTGCTCTGGTGGCAGGAACCCCTTCTGGTTTCACTTGCTGTTATCCTCAACATGTAGCAAAGTCCCTGGCACAAGATCGACCCCCAGATAATTTATAACTGGTGGGCTGGGGGCAATCCTGGCAGAAGAGTGTGCTCAAATAAGTCAGACAAGCTGGGTGTGGTGGGACTGCACCTGTAGTCCCAGCCACTAAGGAGGCTGAAGTGGGAGGATCCTTTGAATCCAGGAGGAATCACTTGAAACCAACCTGGACAACTTAGCAAGATCCCCCAGCCTGGTCTCTTAAAAATAAATAAATAAATAAAGGAAGCTAGACAGCGAAGGTCACGGGGAAAGGCAAACAGTAGGCTATGGCCAGAAGAGGGAGTATCTGAATATCTGAGGTAGTGGTAGAGAGGCAGCAGAAAATCAGGTTGAGAAAGGTAAGGCAGTGCCGGCAGGGAAAGGGCCTTGAATGCCAAGCCAAAACACTTGATTTTTAACTCCACCTACAGCTCCAAGAATTGTGGGTAGGGAAGGGCCTTAGACCAGTTTGCTGTAGAAAGACCCCTCTGGCACTGTATACTACATAAATGGCAGGGGCAGAGTGGGGTGTGGAGAGGCCAGAAGGAGGGCAGGGGTGAGGAGGTGGGGATGTGGCTTGGAAAGTAAAGGACAGGACTAAGGCTGGCCCGGCGGCTCATGCCTGTAATCCCGGCACTTTGAGAGGCTGAGGCGGGTGGATCACCGGAGGTCAGGAGTTCGAGACCAGCCTGGCCAACACGGTGAAACCCCTTCTCTATGAAATACAAAAATTAGCTGGGTGTGGTGGCACAGGCCTGTAATCCCAGCTACTCTGGAGGCTGAAATAGAATTGCTTGAACCTGGGCAGCAGAGGTTGCAGTGAGCCAAGATCACACCACTGCATTCCAGCCTGGGCCACGGAGTAGACTCTCAAAAAAAAAAAAAAAAAAACAGGACTAGGTGGCTACTTGGATGAACCACGGGAGAGGTCAAGAAGAGAAACCTGGTGTTTGTACCAGATATGTAGAGTGCGGGCTGCCAATCATTGCTGAAGGGAAGAGGAGGAGGAAGAGGTACGGCATGGGGAGGAGACAGCTGAACTCTGTCTTGAAAGTATTTAATTTGAAGTCCCCAAGGAGAGGCAGGCCTGCCAGCGCCTTAACTGCTTCAGCCAGCCCTAAGGGCACCTGTGCTCCCTCTCAGCTGTCCCCTTTGCTGCCACAGGCTGCAGTGGGGTCAGGCTGCATGAGGGCCCAGCAGGTCTGACTGTGTGTTTTCCTAGGGGACTGCCGCGTGGCCAATGCTGAGGAGAAGCTGATAGACGATCTTCTGAACAAAACCCGTTACAACTACCTGATCCGCCCAGCCTCCAGCTCCTCACAACTCATCTCCATCAAGCTGCAGCTCTCCCTGGCCCAGCTCATCAGCGTGGTATGTGCAGAGGGCAGCCGTGGCTCAGGCTCAGGTGGAGAGGTTGCTCATGTCCAAGCCCTAAGCAATCATTGGCCAGAAAAATGAAATGACTACCTAGAGTTGACTTAGACTTACCAGTACCTGTCAGGGAGGCTGCAGAAGGGTCCACAAAGTACATAGATGTCCAATATTTAATGAAGTCGTGGTTTTGTTATAACAAAGAAATGAGGGTGGGAGTGGGATGGCCACTGGGCAGGCAGCCAGTGGGCCTGCCATAGACCCTGCTCAGCTGGGTCTCCAGCACAGCCATAAGCTTCCCCTCCTTGTCCTCACAGCCCCACCCTATTCTCTCCCCCAGCTTGCTCAACAGGTGACCTTGCATGCTCCCTACTTGTTGGGGGAAATAAGAACCAGACTCGGGAAACTGATGGGTACAGAGGCCCAGCTGTGGGGGCAGGACCAGAGGCAGTGCAGCGCCGATTGAGCCAGGCGGGTGGGGGTCTGGACGGTGGGCATGGCTGCTGCAGGCATGGAAAGGAGGCATGGATGGTGGCATTCACAGGGACCATTGTCAGGTTCTTCACATTTGGGTGTGGGGCAGAGGCGGGGGTGCTGAGGGAGGAAGTGCCTGGGAATTTCTCTTCTGTCTGCTGCCTTTGAGTTGGAGATGCATTTACGAGAAGAGAGTGTGTGGCGCCGGCGCCATGTCCAGCCAAGGGAAAGATATCACCAAGCGGGCAGACCCTCCTCTGGCCAGGTGGCTGTCTTCTGAAATGCCAGAATCTCTCGAGCATGGCTGGCCCCACACACCCAGACTGTCAAACCTACAGTCCTCAACAAGACTTTCGCCAAATTAATGACTGACTCCATCTCCTGGGAGGATGCACAGACCCAGGATGGGGAGGGCTGGAGAGCCTTGTACTCTCTGCCCCTCCCTCTCCCTAGTCAAACCGGAAGGAAGGAGAGAGGGCTTTCAACCAGACTCGCCCACGCTGGTGGTCTGAGTGTTATTGTCCAGCCCAGGGCTTCTTGCTTAATGGGGTGAGCCCAGCTGCCGCCATGCAGCTGCTGTTCCTAGTGAGGGTGAAGGAGCAGGAGGCTCTGCCGCACTTCCAAGATCAGGCTGCCTGGTCAGGTCTGCTCTGCAGACCCTATAGGGTGATAGAGGCTACCGGAAGCTGGAGGGGACGCAGCCGCCAGTCCTCACCCATGCAAGTCATATTTCTGAAAGCTCAAGTATACAGTAAATATTAGGTAGTAGGCTGCCAGGACACGAGAGGGTATTGTCCTCCTATTTTTCAGGATTTCTTTCTTTCTTTCTCTTTCTTTAAGGAGGGAGGGTTATAGATACAAGCAGTTTAAAGATGGGAATTTTTAGGGAGCAGGTAGGGATTTAGTGCTGGGTAAGGCAAGCAGGCTTGTCAAAGCACCTCTTTTCTAATCGACTCCTGAGTCTGGCAAGCCAGGCACTCCCTTGCCAGCATCCCCACCCCAACCTCTCTAGCCCCGCTTATTCCCTGACCCTCCCACCTGCTCCCCTGCCCCAGCACTGTTTCCTCTGCTCACTCTCATCTCTGTTCCTGCCCAGGGGCTTGCCTGTTTCAATGTCCTTGACTCTCCTCTGAGTCTCCCTCTTTCCAAGTCATCTCCCCTATACTTGACCAGTCTCCTGGAAGACACCAGAGAACACCAGCTCAAGTCCCTGAACCTCACCTTTACTCCCAGACCTGTGAGAGAGATGATACAAAGTCCCAGATGCCACTTGGAAAGAGACTGAGGGTATGCAGGGAGGGAGATCTGAGGCTGTGGAAGCTCAGGGTGTAGGTTTAAATGTAAACATAGCTGGGTGCAGTGGCTCACGCTGTAATCCCAGCACTTTGAGAGGCCGAGGTGGGTGGATCATGAGGTCAAGAGTTTGAGACCAGCCTGACAAACAAGGTGAAACCCTGTCTCTAGTAAAAATACAAAAAAAAAAAAAAAATTAGCTGGGCGTGGTGGCATGTGCCTGTAATTTCAGCTACCCAGGAGGCTGAGGCAGGAGAATCGCTTGAACCCAGGAAGTAGAGGTTGCAGTGAGCCAAGATTGCATGCACCATTGCACTCCAGCCTGGGTGACAGAGTGAGACTCTGTCTTAAAAATAAATAAATAAATAAATAAATAAATAAATAAATAAATAAAATATCATAACTATATTAAATGTAAATGGCCTAAATACTCTAATCAAAATGAGACAATTGGCCTGCATCCTTCTTCTCCCTTCTCCCTCCCCACCAACAGCCTGGAATGTGGAATTTACATTGTAGCTCCAGTAGTTATTTGGTCCATTCTTATGAGGGCCGCACTCCAGGTATGGTAGAGAAGAAAGTTGGAAAAAATCTGGGTTTCTACCAGAACTTTGTAGAGCAGAACTACCATGTATGTCTAAAGTGTTAACATGATAGGGACATGAATTTCTACTTTACTTAAGTCTGTGTTACTCTGGATCACGGTTACTGGCAGCTGAACCTTATCTTACTGATAATCCTATCTAGTTGTAGGTTCCTTGAGGAAGTGACTCCTAAACTGAGACCAGTATGCTGCAAGTTATGTTGATGAAGAGGAGGCAGCAAAAATAGTACTGACTGAGACCACAAGACATATCCAAAACACTAAAGAAGGCCAGGGGGCTGTAGGACAGAACAAAAGGACGCGGGGAGATGACATGAGGCTGGGAAACCTGGCAAGGCCCTGCAGACCCTGTGAAGGAGTGGGATTTTTATTCTGTAAGTGAAGAAAGCCAAGGAAGTAATCTAAACAGGGATAAAAAGGACAGGAATTTTGGAAGGTTTATTCTGGCTGCATAGGAACAACAGATGTGTGTGTACGGTAATGGTGGTGGACGGAATGACCATGGACCCGTTAGGAAAGTATTACAGGGTCTAGGTGAGGTATGGATGATGTGGCCTGGAATGATGGTAGGAGGATTCGTGTGTTTATACAGAAAATGTTTATGGAGCATCCAACATGTCACATACTCTTCTAGCTGCCTTATTTCCTCATAGCCATTAGATTCTAGTGGGAGGTGGCAGATAATACACAGATGGATAGATGGTGTTTAGAGGTGATACATGCTGTGAAACAAAATGAGACTTGGTGAGGTGGCTCGCACCTGTAAGGCCAATACTTCAGGAGGCTGAGGTGAGTGGATCACTTCAGCTCAGGAATTTGAGACCAGCCTGGGCATCGGGATGAAACCCCATCTCTACAAAAAAAATTTTTTTAATTATACCAGGTATGGTGGCCTGTGCCTGTGGTCCCAGCTTCTCAGGAGGCTAAGGTGGGAGGACCACTGGAAGGTAGAGATTTCAGTGAGCAAAGATCACGCCACTGCCCTCCAGCCTGGGCAACAGAGTGAGACCCTGTCTCAAGAAAATAAACAAAAAATTACAAAAAAGAAAAATAAGGCAGGGCAGGGACAGCGGGGCTATTTTAGGTAGGTCAGGGAAGACCTCTTTGATGATGGGATGACATTTCTGATAGCAAAAGAAAGTGTGGAAGCATCCTGGTGGGTTTCCAGGAAAGGTAATAGTGTGTGCCGGAGCCGAGACAGTGTGGTGGACGTGGAATGAGCAAATGGTAGTGCTGAGATAACAGGTAAGGGAGCTGATGGGGTGAGGGGTGGAGGGGAGGCAGGTCACTAGGGCCTTGTAGACTCTAAGCAGAACTTTGGCTTTTCCTTCGGATGAGATGAGGCAGCAGAGCAACTAGTCAACGACACTGAGATTTAAGGGGATCACCCTGGCTACATCTAGAGAATGGACCAAAGGCAGGCCAGGACAGAGCAGAAAGACCAGTGACAGGGCCATGGCAGTAGTCCAGGTGACAGAGGATGGTGGCAGAGGAGAGAAGCAGACACATATGAGATGCTTTAGGAAATATAATTTACAAGACTTATTGATGGATCGGAGAGCAGTGTTAGAGGCAATGTCCACGTTTTTGGTTTGTGGAAATGGATGGCTAGGGATGCCATTCACTGAGACAATGAAGCCAGAGGAGGACCAGGCTTTGGGAAAATCATGAGCTTTGTCTCAAACATGCTGGGTATGACATACCTCTGAGCCATCCAAGAGATGTTTGGGCAGTCGTTGGTCACAAGGGCCTGGAGCTCACAGCCCTTTGCACAATCAAGTGAAATCCATTCGTAAGCCTCCTTCTTCCTGGTGAACTGATAGCCCTGTTTCCCTCCCCAGAATGAGCGAGAGCAGATCATGACCACCAATGTCTGGCTGAAACAGGTAAGTGCCCTGCAGGGCCCCTAGCCCAAGAGATGTCTTCTCTAAGGCTGCCCTTTGGTGGCAGTAGACCTGCAAGTGACAGGGCCTTGCCTGTCTGTCCAGGAATGGACTGACTACCGCCTGACCTGGAACAGCTCCCGCTATGAGGGTGTGAACATCCTGAGGATCCCGGCAAAGCGCCTCTGGTTGCCCGACATTGTGCTTTACAACAAGTGAGTGGTGGGGTTGGCTGAGGCTTGGTGACAGCCAGGCCAGGGCAGCAGGCCCAGCCCTAAGAGTCATCCAGGCCTGAGTCCAACTGTGGGCCCCATCTCTGCTTTACCCAGCCTTCCAGGCCATCAAGCTAAAAGAGAAGCAGAGGTAAGCAGAGCCGGAGCCATCAGTTACAGATGGGGAGTCTGAGGCTGGCGGGGAGGGGCCTTGTCTAATTCACTGAAGTACAGCCGGGACCACAGCAGTGACCTGACCTCAAGCTCAGCACCCTTATTCTGCTCCATCCTATCCTTTTGAGCTTTGCCAGTGTTGGGTGTCAGTAGCACTGACTTACTATGGGTAAATATCTTAGGCAGGTGGAGGAAGCCAAAGCGATTCTCCCTGACTTAGTATTACATCAGCAGTAGCGTGAAATGGCTAAGAGTGTGTGGTCTGGCTGAGTGTGGTGGTTCATGCCTGTAATCCCAGTACTTTGGGAGGCTGAGGTGGGTGGATCACGAGGTCAAGAGTTTGAGACCAGCCTGGCCAGTATGGTGAAACCCTATCTCTACTAAAAATACAAAAATTAGCCGGAAGTAGTGGTGCATGTCTGTAGTCCCAGCTACTCGGGGAGGCTGAGGTTGGACCTGGGAGGCGGAGGTTGCAGTGAGCCAAGATCGCGCCACTGCACTCCAGCCTGGCGACAGAGCGAGACTCTGTCTCAAAAAAGAAAAAGTGCTGTCTGGGGACAGACAGACCTGAGTTCACCCCAACTGTCCTGCTTACACATTTTCTGACCTTGAAGAAGTCATTTAAACTCTCTGGGCCTTGGCTTTCCCATCTGTAGAATGGGGATAATAATAAACCCTACCTCACTGGACTACTGAGAGGCTTAAATGAGCTATTCCATGGGAAGCCATAAGAGTGTCTGATGGTAGGGCTCTCTCCACCACATAGTTGCCAATAAAGGCAGGCCCCTTTCCGTGGGGGCCCGGGGGATTGGAAGGGCGACTAGTGGGAAAAACTCCCAAAGGGCTCTTCAGTGAGTTCTGAGGCCAGGCCAGGCCTTGTGTATGGGTTTCACGATGTTGTCTGTGCCCTGCCCCTGCCCAGCGCCGACGGGACCTATGAGGTGTCTGTCTACACCAATGTTATAGTCCGGTCCAATGGCAGCGTCCTGTGGCTGCCCCCTGCCATCTACAAGAGCGCCTGCAAAATTGAGGTGAAGCACTTTCCCTTCGACCGGCAGAACTGCACCCTCAAGTTCCGTTCCTGGACCTACGACCACACGGAGATAGACATGGTCCTCATGTCGCCCACAGCCAGCATGGATGACTTTACTCCCAGTGGCGAGTGGGACATAGTGGCCCTCCCAGGGCGAAGGACAGTGAACCCACAGGACCCCAGCTACGTGGACGTGACTTATGACTTCATCATCAAGCGCAAGCCGCTGTTCTACACCATCAACCTCATTATCCCCTGCGTGCTCATCACCTCGCTGGCCATCCTCGTCTTCTACCTGCCATCCGACTGTGGCGAGAAGATGACGCTGTGCATCTCCGTGCTGCTGGCGCTCACCGTCTTCCTGCTGCTCATCTCCAAGATCGTGCCGCCCACCTCCCTCGACGTGCCGCTCATCGGGAAGTACCTCATGTTCACCATGGTGCTGGTCACCTTCTCCATCGTCACCAGCGTCTGTGTGCTCAATGTGCATCACCGCTCGCCCAGCACCCACACCATGGCGCCCTGGGTCAAGCGCTGCTTCCTGCACAAGCTGCCCACCTTCCTCTTCATGAAGCGCCCTGGCCCCAACAGCAGCCCGGCCAGAGCCCTCCTGCCCAGCAAGTCACGCCTGACCAAGCCCGAGGCCGCTGCCACCTCCGCCAGCCCCTCCAACCTCTATGGGAACTCCATGTACTTTGTGAACCCTGCCTCTGCAGCTCCCAAGTCTCCAGCCGGCTCCACCCTGGTGGGTGTCCCCAGGGACTTCCGGCTGCGGTCCTCCAGGAGGTTCCCACAGGATGTGCAGGAGGCATTAGAAGGTGTCAGCTTCATCGCCCAGCACATGAAGAATGACGATGAAGACCAGAGTGTAAGTTGCTCACCAGCCCCGTCCCACCTGCCCAACAGAAAGGCTCAGATAGTAACACCAGTTTCCACTTCCTGCAGTTAACTCATAGGGGACAAGGACGCTCAAACTCTGCATAAGGAATCCAAAATGGAAATGAGCTCTTATTGAATATTATAGCTTCATGCATCCAGGGAGAGGAAGGAAGTGCCAGTGATTTTTTGTTTGTTTTAGATGTCCCAGGAGCAAACCCTAAGATGGGGACTTGAGGGCAGGTGGCTTATTGGAGATGTGATCCCTGGAAGCACAGTGAGGGAGGAGGGAAGGTGAGACAGGGAAAGGAGAAGAGCCAGAATACGATATGAATGAGCAGGATGCTGCCGTGGGCACCCAGGACTCAGTACCCTTGCAGACGTTCTGAGGACCCATGGGAACAAGCCTCAGAATCACACCCCTGGAGGGAGGCTGAGGTGTTTACCCACCATCCCCCATTCCGTAAGGACACTAATTCCCCTGCGCTTCCAGGTAATGCCAGCCTCCAGAGCAAGCGCACTTGGTGCTGGAGAAAGTCCTGGGGCAGAGGAGAGAGGAAATGCAGGTGCCAGAAATGGAAGGCTGGGAAATGACTCTGCAGCCTTTAGGGAACACAAGTGGGCTGGGTACCAATGTGTCGGCCCCATCCTCTTTAGACTTGCAAAGGAGCCATTCAAGCTCTTAGAGCTCTCACGGCTACAGGAACATCAGTAAAAATACTAGGATTTCCAGGGTAACGAATTAATCAATTGTGCTAACTAGAATTACAGATTTTATTTTATTTTTTATTTTTTTGAGACAGAGTTTCTCTCTTGTGGCCCAGGCTAGAGTGCAGTGGCACCATCGGCTCACTGTAACCTCCACCTCCTGTGTTCAAGCGATTCTCCTGCCTCTGCCTCCCGAGTAGCTGGAATTACTGGTGCCTGCCACCACGCCTGGCTAATTTTTGTATTTTTAGCAGAGACAGGGTTTCACCATGTTGGCCAGGCTAGTCTTGAACTCCTGACCTCAGGTGATCCATCCACCTCAGCCTCCCAAAGTGCTGGAATTACAGGTGTGAGCCACCGTGCTCAACCTAGAATTACAGATATTTTAAAAAGAGATTTCATTTACTTTCACAGAACAAAGCAATAAGTGCTGGAGTCTGGATATTTCACATGACTCCTTTGAATAAATAACACTTCCAAGGACAATTTCAGAGTAACAACACAGAATCCGGTGGTGACAGAAATTTTCACACCCATTTCCAGGCCAGGCGGGAGAACAACTTTCATGCTCTTGTGAGTGTTCTCCTATCAACACCTTCAGTTCAGATTCTTTGGGCAGGTTTTGGCGACACAACACGGTGTCTTCCCCCATGCAGCTGCATGGGAAAAAGTGGATGTCTCCTCGTTCTTATCTTTCTGAGCTTGCTTTCCACTCACTGCATCCTCAAGGGGAAGCGCCTGCATTCCATTAGTTAGCCTGAAGAGAAAAGAGCAGGAACAGCTCCAGAATCACACTGGGCCAAGGAAGGAAGAGAAATGCAAACAAATGGAATATAGGACATGAGATATTCTTCTGGTGTCGGTCTTGGACCAGCAGCACTGGCATTGCCTGGGAGTTATCAGAAATGCAGAGTCTCAGGCCCAGTCCAGACCAGCTGGCTCCAAATCTGCATTTTAACAAGATCCCCAGGAGATTCCCAGACCTGTTGCAGTTTGAGAAGCACAGCTCTGTAGGACTCTCAGATTTCACTTTCTAAAACATTAATTTGATCATGCTATTACTTAGGTTAAAACCATTCCATACTTCAGCCTCACCTAATTTATTGGCTCCCAAACATTAACATGCAGCCTGGGCCCGGCCGGCTAACTGAGAGCCATGTGGGCGACGCTGTGGGACCACCCTCTGACTGAGCCAGAATCTCTGTGGGAGGCATATTGGAGCCTGCATTTTTATCCAGTCCGTGGTGTTTCATGTGCACATTCTAGGTTGAGAAGTGCTGGTCTCCTACACCCCTGGCTCAGCCGGCACCCAACCTGAACTCTCTTCTAAAGACCTCACCACCCCCTTGGCACTCACCTGCCTTCTGCTCTTTCTAGCTCAACTAATTACAGGCCTCTTAAGAGAAGGAGCCAGGGGGGACCCCTGTCATTATAAACAGCAGCGTTGATTAAGCTCCAGCCACACATCAGGTGCTGTGCCAGGAGTTGACACACGTGACTGCCAACCCTCCCTGGAACCCTGTGAAGTGGCTTTTACCAGAACCCCAATTTTACAATAGGGGAAGTTTTCAAAGCAAAGCTCAGAGAGGTTCACTGACTTGGCCAGTGTCACATAGCCGGCCTGGGGCAGTGCCAGGCTCCATACCCAGATCTGCCTGACATCCTTAAACTCTCTTGCCTTTGCAAGTTTCTTGCCCTGCACTGAGCGCATGGTGGGCTTATTGGTTGATTGGCTTTCTCATGGATAGTGGGAGAAAAGAGGCTTTCTTCCCTTCCAGAGCCTGCCTGCCTCCAAGGCAGCCCCTGCTGCTTCTCATCTTCAGTACTTTCACCCACCCTGGTGATTAACTGGTCACTATAAATAGCACAAAAATATTAAAAGGGAAAAGCACACAGACGCAGACACACAGACAGACACAGACACACACACACACACACACACATGCGTGTGCTACTTAAAATTAGGGCTGTTAAAAAAAAAAGAATGCCAAGGAGTGCTCTGTGGAGAGAGCTGTGCTGTGCCTGCTGAGTCTTAGGGATAGGTGCCAGTCGTGCTTGGTTTCGGGTGTCGGGGCTGGCTTGACAGGATTATCCCGCACTGTAGACATACCATTGACAGGCCCTGACAAACTGGGTCACTGACGTTAGCATGCCCGTTGCTGCCCACTTTTCCAATTCCAGAGCCTCTGCTGATCTCACAGGCCTTCTGATCCCGTCAGTCTCTGCCAGGGAGTGGATGTAGTGTGAGCCAGCCGGCCTGGGTGTGAAAGAAGGCATAGGGGAGGGAGGCCAGGATGCTGGGCACATGGGCACATGGATGAGAGGATGTGAGTGGCCATCTCACCCAGATGGAAGGACACAGGCCCATCTGTGGTGGCCCCTCTGGAGGCCAGCCAGGTCTCTGCCCACCTTACACCCCACAGCAGGGTCTAAGAAGACGAGAGAGAGAGAGAGACCCAGATGACGCAGCAGGAGGAGGCTGGGTCTTAATTACTGGAAACAGATGCTGCTGCGAACAGATTTGAGCAAATTAAACAGCAGGATTTCCAGGTGTTCTGTAAGCCCCATTGTCCTGCTCTCACTGAACTAGGTGGGGCCGGAATCACTCACAGTTCAGGCAGTGAGTCTGGGGTGAAAATGAGAAGATGGAGCTTTGAGATCCTTAGGCCCCATCTCCTATTTATAACCAGTTTGGGTTTTCAAATCACGATATATGGCATTAAGAAGCCCTCACATTGCCAACTTTTCTGTATAGTCCAAGTTCCCACTGGCCCTGCAGTGCTGTGGGGGACAGGCAGGGTGGAGGTGGGGGACAGCCAGAGGCTCAGAGCGGCCCAACTGAGAGGCCCGCCTAGTATGCAGTTCCACGTATGGCCTGTGGAGTCCCTGGCCAGATAGTAAGGGCCTGACTCAGGGCAAGGAGGGACCCCAGTACTTGGCACCTATGACCAGCCCCTCTGTCTGCCTGCAGGTCATTGAGGACTGGAAGTACGTGGCTATGGTGGTGGACCGGCTATTCCTGTGGGTGTTCGTGTTTGTGTGTGTCCTGGGCACTGTGGGGCTCTTCCTACCGCCCCTCTTCCAGACCCATACAGCTTCTGAAGGGCCCTAGGCTGCCCAGCGTGACTGAGGGCCTCCTGTATTGTGGAGTAAGAGGATGCGAGTGGCCAGGTGGACAGTTTGCTGCTTCCTTCTGGGTTGTGGCTGATGAGGCCCTAAATAAATATGTGACCATTGGCCATCAACCCCATCAAACCAGCCACAGCTGTGGAAGAGGCAAGGATGGGGGCCTGGACTGTCCTCTCCGAATCCTTGGAGGGATCCCAGGAAGCCCCAGCAAGAGGGAGCTTCAGACAGTTCAGTTCCGCCCTGTCTTTCTTCCCTGCACCGGGCACTGGGGAAGAAGATGAACACTGTAGCAGCACCTACTACGTACCAGGCATGATGTCAGCCTGCCTCTCCATCCCCATCTCGCTCCACTTCCCCTCGTCCAGTCCCTCACACACTTGTAGATTCTTCCCAGCTCAGAGGCTTGGCATTTGCCATATCTTGTTATTTTTGAAACAGAGTCTCACTCTGTCCCCCAGGCTGGAGTGCGGTGTTGCAACCTCGGCTCACTGCAACCTCTGCCTCCCAGGTTCAAGTGATTCTCCTGCCTCAGCCTCCCCAGTAGCTGGGATTACAGGCAGCCGCCACCACGCCCAGCTAATTTTTGTATTTTTGTTGGCCGGGCTGGTCTCAAACTCCTGACCTCAAACGATCTGCCCTCCTCAGGCTCCCAAAGTGCTGGGGTTACAAGCATGAGCCACTATGCCTGGCTTGCTGTATCTTCTACCTGAACCTTTTTCCCCCAGGGCTTCCCAAACTCTTTCCACAATCACATGAGTCAGGGCATGGCTCCAATCCATCCTTTGCTGCAATGTCCCCTCCTCTGCGAGGCCTTCCCTAAGCACCCAATCATTCTAAAGCAGTCTCTCTATGGCCACGTTACCTTGCCACCTTCCTCGAGCACTCCTCGGTACCTGCCACTCTCATCTGTTGGCACATATGTCATCCACAACTCACCCACTAGAGTGTGAGCTCCATGTGAACAGAGACCTGCTCCTTCACGTTCATGGTGGTATCCCTAGGGCCTAGGACAGAGCTTGGCACACAGTAGATGCTCAATAAATGCTTATTGAATGAATGAATGGCTACTACTCCTCCTTCAAGCTCAGACACCTGTCCTCTGAGCAGCGGTCCCTAGTTCCTCCATCTAAAAGGTATGGCCTGCTCCTCCATGTTGCTGTAGCGCTGGTCGCTTTCCACTCCTCTATTATGGCTGGGTTCAGGTCAGTCTCCCACGCTGATGCTCCGATTAACTACCCGCACATAGTATCTTTTGCACAGTGCCTGGCACGTAGTAGGCACTCAGAATATTTGTGGAAAGGAGGAGGACATTCTAAAAAAATTCTGTTTTTAAAATTATTATATAGTATTGACTTGTAAATATATAGTTCTAGGAATTTTAACACATGTATAGATTGGAATAACCACCATCACATTCAGGACACGGGAAAGATTTGTCACCCAAAACAACTCCTTCCTGCTATTCCGTTAGAATCCTGACTCCCTCCACGCCTAGCCCCTGGCAACCACACATCTTTCTCTGTCACTACAGTTGGGTCCTTTCAAGAATGCCATTTAAATGGAATCACACTGTAGTGACCTTGGAGACCGGCTTCTTTCATTCAGCATAGTGCCTTCGAGATTCAATCAAGTAGGTTTTTTGTATTGCTAAGGAGTATTCAGTTGTATGATGTTGACATACATTTAGGCTGTTTCCAGTTTTTGGCAATTATGAATAGAGCTGATATAAAAATTTACATATAGGATTGTGTATGAATAAAAGTTTTCACTTATTTAAACACTCAGGAGGGTGATTGCTAGGTTATATGGTAAGTTTGTGTTTAACTTTATATGAAACTGTTAAGGCCAGGTGCAGTGGCTCACACCTGTAATCCCAGCACTTTAGGAGGCCGAGCTGGCAGATCACCTGAGGTCAGGAGTTCAAGACCAGCCTGGCCAATATGGTGAAACCCTGTCTCTGCTAAAAATACAAAAATTAGCCGGGCATGGTGGTGTGTGCCTGTAATCCCAGCTACTCAGGAGACTGAGGCAGAAGAATCACTTGAACCTGGGAGCGAGAGGTTGCAGTAAGCCCAGATTGTACCACTGCACTCCAGCCTGGGAGACACAGAAAAAGAAGGAAGGGAGGGAGGGAGGAAAGGATGGAGGGAGGGAGGAAAGGGTGGAGGGAGGGAGGGAGGAGAAACTCTTTTCTGGAGTAGCTGTACCACTTTGCAATCCCACCAAAATTGTTCAGCAGCTGGATTCCACCCTGCTTTTAATTCGCATGTCCACGGTGGCTAGTGATTTGAACATCTTTCATGTGCTTTTTTTGTCTTCTGTATACCTCTTTGGTGAAGAATCTGTTTCTTTTGCTCATTAAAAAAAAATGTTCATTTTCTTAACATTGAGATTTTTGTTAGAAAACAACTTTTTTGAGACGGAGTCTTGCTCTGTCACCCAGGCTAGAGTACAGTGGCGTGATCTTGGCTCACTGCAAGCTTTGCCTTCTGGGTTCAAGCGATTCTCCTGCCTCAGCCTCCTGAGTAGCTGGGACTACAAGTGTCTGCCACCATGCCTGGCTGATTTTTGTATTTTTAGTAGAGACAGGGTTTCACCATGTTGGCCAGGCTGGTCTCGAACTCCTGACCTTGTGATCTGCCCACCTCAGCCTCCCAAAGTGCTGGGATTACAGACATGAGCCACTGTACCCGGCCAGGAAACAACTTTATTGAGGTATAATTTACAAGCCATAAAATCCACCCATTTTAAGTGTACCATTCAATGAGTTTTTGTAAGTGTATCACCAGAATCCAGTTTTAGAACATCTGCGTCACCCCAGTAAGATCCCTCATATGCATCTACACTTACTGTTGAGTTTTGAAGGTTCCTTATACATTTTGGATACAAGCCCTTTGTTGGATATATGACTTACAATATTGTCCCAATGAGGGACATTTGCCAGGAGATGAGAATGCTCTAATTGGGAGCCTGAGAAGTGGGTGCCAATTCTTACAAACATTTTCCATTCCACACACTGTCTCTTTTTGTTTGGTTTTAATATGGGTAGGCAGCACATTCTGGAAACAATAAAGGCAACTCACAATTTGCTGAATGCCAGGCAGAGAGTTTACAACAGAACTTCCCCCTGTGATAAAGGGATGTCAAAGAAGCCAGCATCAAGCTGCCCCCCATCCCTGGTGGGTGGTCAGTGAGGGCAGGAGGCTCCCAGGCCCCCTGCCTGGCCAATCAGTGCACATTCCTGGGGTTGCAGATGGTGATGGGGAAGGGGACAGAGGGATTCCGCAGGGGACTAGGGTGAGAACCCCAGTGCCCTCTCAGATTGCTCTATCAGAAGAGCAAATGAGGCATACAAAGTGCCTCACATCTGAAATCCCAGCACTTTGGGAGGCCAGGGCAGGAGAACTGCTAAGCCCAGGAGTTCCAGACCAGTCTGGGCAACATAGGTAGATGTCCCTCTCCACAAAATTAAAAATTAACTAGACGCCGTGGCGCCTGCCTGTAGTACCAGCTGCCCCAGAGGCTGAGGTGGGAGGATCACTTGAGCCAGGCACGTGGAGGCTACAGTGAGCCGAGATGGAGCCACCGCACTGTAGCCCTGGCGACAGGGTGAGACTTTGTCTCAGAAAAAGAAGAAAAAGAGCAAATGAAGCCTCATTTTAAATTCTGTCTTCTTTATCTTTCTTTAACTTTTCATTAAGCAGCAATTCAAACAAATTCTAAAGGAAAGAGAACAGTATACCCAACCTCTAGGTACCATCATCCTGCCTCGACAATGAGCAACTCGCGGCCAGTATTGTTTCAGCTGAGTTCTACCCGTCCCTAAACTATAAGGACTTAAAAAACTACCAGTACGACATCTAAAATATTTAACAGTTACTTAACAGCATGAAATGCGTGAGGGCCTCCTTCCCAGAGTGTGTTAGCGCCTCTCCTACAGCGCCTGGCCCGGTGGTCCCAACCCCCGGCGGCAGCTGCACACGCCCCGGAAGCCAGGGACAGAGAGGCTGGGTCCCTCTTTTTTCCTCGAGGTGGTGACAGCACCTCGGATCTGGTCGGGCGCGGCCGTCCGGGGCGCCCCGCCCCGCGCAGAGGGAGCCCGCCTGGCGCTGGGGACTCGGGCCGGGAGCCCCTTCCCAAGAGCGCGCACGCCCCGCCCGCCCCACCCCACCAACTCCCGCGCCCGCGCTCAGCGCTGCTTGACTCCGGTGGTTCTTGTCCTCCCGCGGGTCCGAGGGCGCCGGAAACCCAGCGGCAGCGAAGCGGAGAGGAGTCCCGCACGTCCCGGCTCGCACGGCTCCGGGTCCGGGGTCTGCGCTGGAGCCGCATGGGGAGAGGCCGTCTCTGCGCCCGCCGCGCCCGCTCCGACTGTCCGAGTCCGCGGCCAGCCGGGCCACCAGCCATGGGCTTCCGCCCGCTCTCGCCGCCCCGGGCGCTGTCGTCGCCGCGGCTGCTGCTGCTGCTGTCTTTGCTGCCAGGTAAGCGCACCGGCGTCAGGGCTCCGGAGGGACGCGGGAGTGGGCGCGGGGTCTCAGGCGCTGCCGGTGAGAGCACCGCGCCGGCGAGCGGAGAGGGCGGGCGCGGTCCCGGGGACTCGGAACCCGCGCAGACCCGCTCCCGCGCGGCGGCGACTTGGGTGGGGTAGCTTTTTCCCTTTCGGCTTACTCCCCACCCCTAGCCACCAGCAAACCTGGGAGTCACTTGGCGGGCGCTGGTAGGCGCGGGGTGATGCGGCGGTCGGGACCGGGTCCTTTGTCTTGGGCACAGGAACTGGGGGTTCGCGTCCCCGCGCTGACGGTCGCCCGGCCCCGCGCACTGACTCCCGAACTGTCGCGCCCACGCCTGGCGCTCCACCGTCTGCATCCAGCCCACCTCCTCATTTGACTGACAGAGGGAAAACTGTAGCCGGAGAAGGCTAAAGACTTCGCCAAGGCCACCTGGGGGAGAGGGGAGTCGCCTCGGGACTGGGGCTGGAGCCGGCGCGCCAGCCTCTCCTCCTGTCCTCGTCGCCCCGCGCCCCAGGCTGCGTCGCTGTGTGACCCTCCACCCGGACAGCGCCTCCCGGCTTCCTCCCGCTCTCCAGACCAGCCTGCTGGGGGAAGCGGGCCCTGGCCCGCCGCTGGGAGGCTCTTGAGTGCCTGGGAGGGCTGGTGGATAGCGAGGGTCCGGGACCAGGCAGGGCTGCAGGGAGTTCCTGGCGGGCCGGGCCGGCGGTCTGCTGTGCGGCTGTGCGCCCAGAGCGCTTTCTGCCCTCGGTGCCGAGGCCTCCACTATTCAGAACGCCACACGTTCTCAACCGAGCTCCTGCCTGGGACCCTCCTTTCACTCTGGGGAAGAGGAGGGGGAGAACAGGCAAAAATCCAACTTCAAGACCTGAGGAAGTTGGATTCAGCTTCCCAGAGGGTTCTCCTCCTGCCTCCCCAAGCTGCCGCCAGATCTGTACGTGGGAATTGGAAGACAGTTGACTCCGTATGCCTCACCTGTGCTGGGGTGTGGCTTAGAAACAAAGAGGGTGCCCAAGGGTTGCTGAGAGGTCAAAGTCATTGATCGGGATGTGAAGACAGCATCAGCAAGAGCTGGGGGAGCACACGAGATGACGGGAGCCACATAGTGTCTTGGCTTCTATGAGGGCTGGTGGCCAAACCCCTGCAGAATGGAATGCAAGAGAGGCCCAGACACCAGGTCTCCCAGAGACCTGGGCCTGGGTGACCGTGTGTGGCCCTGCCCCTGGCGGGGCGGGGGGGGGGGGGCGGCCACCTTTCCGTCCTGGAAGCAGGGAGTGGCTGTGCCTAGGCAGACAGCATTTGCACCGCATGCCCACCCTGCAATAACAACCCGGGAAAGGATCGCGAATAGTGGTTGAGCTCTTACCACAGCACCAAGCTGTGCACTTCCTTCTCAACACCCTTTGTGGTGTATACGTTTATAATCCTTATTTTGACTGATAAAGACACTGAAGTTCAGAGAGGTTAAGCCGCTTGCCTAAGCTCACACAGCTCAGAAGTGATTTATCAGGATTTGCACCAGATCTGTCCAACTGCAGAGCCTAGGCTTGCAACCACTGTGCTTCTCACTGGATGTGTGTGACCTGATAGACTCCTGCCCCACTTGGGCCTCAGTTTCCCAGTCTGTAACCCACGGGGTAAGACTAGCCTGAAAGTCTAGGGTTCCACAGAATCCCCCACAGGTGGAGGGGACGCTGTCGGTGGGCAATGTTGCTGGTGGGCTGGGTGGGGCAGGTTAAGTAATGATTTCCCCACGGACTGACAGGGCTGCTTCCTCCAGTGGCCAGGGCCTCGGAGGCTGAGCACCGTCTCTTTGAGCGGCTGTTTGAAGATTACAATGAGATCATCCGGCCTGTGGCCAACGTGTCTGACCCAGTCATCATCCATTTCGAGGTGTCCATGTCTCAGCTAGTGAAGGTGGTGAGTGCTGGAGCCATGGGAACCGGGGCTTCTGGAGGAGCCTTTCCCAGAATGAGCCCTGTTTTTGTAATTCTCCTGTCTACTTTAATCCCTCTTTCTAGGATGAAGTAAACCAGATCATGGAGACCAACCTGTGGCTCAAGCAAGTAAGTGACCAGACCCTAGGCACTGCTGCCCCCTGGTGGTGACTGCTTTATTTGCTGTAGGTGAACCAAGTAGGGCCCAAAGACCAGGCTTCATTCACTTCTGTGGAACCCAGATTGGGGTCCGCTGACTGGCAGATCTCTCTCTTCTAAGGCTTGAGGCCACATGCACTGTCCTACAGTCCCCCTGGAAGGACTGTAGGGCCCAACCCCTCAAGTTCCAGATGGACAGGTTGCAGCCTGGAGAAAGACATTCTCCATGTTCACACAACAGGACTGAATGAACCTGAGATTGAAGCCCTGCCCCTGAGCCCTGGGGTGGTACTTGAAACAACCTCCTTCTCTCCTTGCTAAAAACTCAGTTTTTTTTTTCCAGACAGGATCTCGCTCTGTCACCCAGGCTGGAGTGCAGTGGCGTGATCTCGGCTCACTGCAACCTCCGCCAGCAGGGTTCAAGCGATTCTCCTGCCTCAGCCTACCAAGCAGCTGGGACCACAGGCGTGCACCACCATGCCCGGCTAATCTTTGTATTTTTTACAGACAGGGTTTCGCCATGTTGTCTAGGCTGGTCTAGAACGCCTGAACTCAAGCAGTCCGCCCACCTCAGCCTCCCAAAGTGCTGGGATTACAGGCATGAACCACTACGCCCAGCCCAAAACCTCATTCTTAAGTCAGAATCAGACGGTGCTATTGTTGGTAGGGTGGGAGTAGATTTTCCTGTTCAGATTGAGGCCAGGAAATTGTCTTCCACGTGTCCTCCCCAGGGAGGCTTTGTCCAGACTTGCCAAGAGACATAATGGCCCATTGGCCTACTGGTGACCCTTCTGCAAGCCTGGCCAGCTGAGCACTCAGCACACACAGCCTTCATCCCCAGGAGGTTGGAAAGCCAGATGGACACAGTGCCCCTCCCAGTACCTGATGCACACATTCCCTCTGTGGCCGCAGCCTCACGCCTTTCTCCTCTGGTGCTGAGGACTGAGACCCCCACCCTCTGCACCCAGACACCTCCTAGGCTCTGCGGGGATCATGGCTTCTTCCCCTAGAACCTTGCAGAGGCCAGCCTTGCTGAATCTTGGGGTGAAAGAGAGTTCTGTGTTGGAAAACACCCCTGGGAGAGCCATTTAGAGGCTGTAAACAGCAGGCACGTGGACCTGGACCCGGTGCAAGGAGTCCAGGAGGCTCCTCCTGGCACTAGAAGTGGCCAGAGAAAGCTCCAGTAGGTCCTGTTTGGTTGATGAGGGGCTGGGCTTGCTCACAGTCCTGGGGACAGTGGATCCCCTAGTGCCAGGAGGCAGCCCACAGGCCCAGCCCTGCAGTCTCTCCCCCGCTGCACCCCCAGGAGAAGTTGAGCTGTGTGATCATGGCATGGATGTGGCTTGGCCACATGCAACAGGGGTGGGGGGTCACTAAGATGGGTGGTGCCAACAGAAGTAAAACCCGACTGATTCTGTGACTGTCTCCTCCCTCCCTGCTTCCTTCCCTGAGATCTGGAATGACTACAAGCTGAAGTGGAACCCCTCGGACTACGGGGGGGCAGAGTTTATGCGTGTCCCTGCCCAGAAGATCTGGAAGCCCGACATTGTGCTTTATAACAAGTAAGGTGCCAGGGGGCCCGTGCCCTGTCAGGGCTGTCAGCCTGGGCTCTGGGTCCTTGGCTTTCCTGGTTTAAAACCTGGCCTTCCTTAGCCTTTTCCAAGAGAGCCTCATTCATTTGTTCATTCAACAGGTATGTATTCAGCAGCTACTATATACCAGGCACCAGAGATACTGGTGAGCCACAGACAGCAGCAGTGTGCTGAGTAGCTTCAAAGCAGGCCATGAGTGGGTGGAGGAGGGATCGGGGAAAGCTTCAGGGAAGAATTAGCATTTGAAGTGAGTCCTGAAGATCTCAGGACAGGGAGATGGAGCAGAGGAGGGCCCAGGAAGGCAGGAGAGTATGTCATGGGCAGCTAAGGTGACCTCATTGGCTGGACTGTGGGACATAAGGCTGGAAAGATTCATGGGCCAAGGACCAACCATGATGTGTGGAGGGGGAAGGCCGAGATGCTGGGGGCACCTGGAATGTCGCATCTGTTAGCAGCTCTGTGCAAATAGACATGAATGGAGTAAACGGTTCCTCTTCACCTTTTCTTTGGAAGAGAATTAGGGTGTTGGAGAAGATCACGGCCTGAGCTGTGTAATCCCAGAGTTCCCAGCCTGCAGACTGGCACGGTTACTAAGGACAAGGAGCTTTTATTGGGACTGAGTCTTACCCTGTTGCCCAGGCTGGAGTGCAGTGGTGTGATCTCAGCTCATGGCAACCTCTGCTTCCTGGGTTCAAGCAATCCTCCTGCCTCAGCCTCCTGAGTAGCTGGGATTACAGGCATGTGCCACCATGCCTGGGTAATTTTTGTACTTTTTTGGTAGAGATGGGGTTTTGCCATGTTGGCCAGGCTGGTCTCGAACTCCTGACCTCAAGCAATCTGTCTGCCTCGGCCTCCTAAAGTGCTGAGATTATAGGCATGAGCCACCGTGCCTGGCTCCAGTGAGCTTTTTAAGACTACAGGTGCTTGGCCAGGTGTGGTGGCTCACGCCTACAATCGCAGCACTTTGGGAAGCCTTGATGGGTGGATCACCTGAGGACAGAAGTTCAAGACCAGCCTGGTCAACATACCAAAACTCTGTCTCTACTAAAAATACAGAAAAATGAGCCAGGCATGGTGGCACGTGCCTGTACTCCCAGCTACTCCAGAGGCTGAGGCAGGAGAATCACTTGAACCTTGGAGATGGAAGCTGCAGTGAATTGAGATCACACCACTGCATTCCAGCCTGGGCACAGTGAAAAAAATCCAGGTGCCTACACTCAAAATATTTTCTTCTTTGTTTCTCATTGTCTTTTCTAAAGCTAATAACTATTACATTATCCAAACAATCTCTATACCTGACCCCGGGTGCCACCCCACAGAAACAGAGTCTGTGGGTCTGGGTGGGCCTAGGAATGGGTGTTTTCACAAAGCTGTCCTGGGGGCTGTGTGACCAGCTTGCTTTGGGGATCCCTGATCTGGCCAGTCCCTGACATTTCACAAATCAAAACAGAGGCCCAGAGTGGGCTTGTGGCACAGCCAGGCCTGGGGTGGTCTCCACCATCCACTGTGGCTTTGGGGCCGCTGTGGGCAGTGGATGCAGGAGGCTGATGCTGTGACCAGGGGGCTGAGCTGGGCACCCCAGCCTGTCTCCGCCTATGTCCTCAAACCTCTACTCTCCCAACAGCAAACCTGCCATAAGACAGTTACCCTGTTACACGGTGTACCCTCCAGGCCTCGTCCCACTGGGGAAAGGTTTGGGCCTTGGAGAAAGGATTGATGGCCCCCCAAGTATGTCAAGTGGGTTCCCATGTACAGAGTAGGGCAAGCTTTCAGGGCCATGTGCTCCCAGCCCATCTGGGTGGCTGCATCCAGGTCGCAGTTGGAAAGAATGAGTCTAGAACTAAAAAGACATCCCTGGCTCCTGCCGTCTAGGGAAGCTGCTCTCTGGCCGGTCCCTCACAGGGGCCACTTCCAATATCCTCTGGATCCCGAATGCGCATCTTCCCGCCGCTTTGGGGAGGCCTCTCCTCTTTCTCTCTTGCAAAGGTTCTTCCTCTGCCAGGCTGGTCCTGCCCATCATCGCACCTCCAAAACCCCCTTTTTTCTTTAAATCCACACCAAACTGATACTTTCCACCTTTAAGCTCTTTCATTGGACTGACGTACATTTTAATTGATATTTTACAGTGTGCTCATTAGTTCTCTAGGTATTGAAGGATATCATTTTTGAACCTGTGCTCTATTTCTAGATAAACATTTAAACATTTTTCAGCAAAACACTTCATGTAGAATTAGTCTATTCTGATTTTAATCACTAAAAAATATGTTTAGGTTTTTATGCCATATTAGTACAAAATAATGTTTCCTTTCTATTAGTATTAGTCGTTTTTACAATTAGCATCAGGACTGGAGGTGCTCTGTTATATGCTGAATCTTACTTTCTGGTCTCTGGCAAAAACAAAAGGGGGTCCTCACTCACTGCAAAGACAGTCCATGTTGAATTTACTATTTTCCCAAGGAAACACGACACTTATAAATGTGGTGTGTGTTTGTTGGCTTTTTTGGGATGGAGGCTCGCTCTGTCACCTAGGCTGGAGCCCAGTGGTGCAACCTCAGCTCATTGCAACCTCTGCCTCCCAAGTTCAAGCAGTTTTCTGCCTCAGTCTCCTGAGTAACTGGGATTACAGGCACCCACCACCATACCTGGCTGATTTTTGTATTTTTAGTAGAGACAGGGTTTCACCATCTTGGCCAGGCTGGTCTTGAACTCCTGACCTCGTGATCCACCTTGTTCGGCCTCCCAAAGTGCTGGGATTACAGATGTGGGCCACTGCTCCTGGCCAAATATGTTATTTCTATATAATTTGTATTTGTAAGATGGTCGTCAGAGAACTGGGGCACAATATAAACTTAACTGGCTTGCAGATTATTTTTTCTTACACTGTGACTCGTAGGAATTGCATGGTTCAAATGCTAGAGAATTTTTGTTAAGCTAGAATTAAGAAAATGAGCCCAAATTTTAATCTTATGTTTTGGGTTTTATAGCCATTTTCTTGCTGGCAATCTTGAGTGAACAGCTGTAGTACTACAGGATGTATGGTTTTAGCAATAACAAGAGGCATAGTGAAATGTTTCAAATTGAATGTGGAGAGGAGAAGATATCAAGGAATCTCCTTGAAATCTGAAGCTGAAAATAACGTTTAGAGAAAATCATCCAACTCCTTTTCTCTCTCTTCTCCTAGTTAGACCTTCAGTTGCTCAGGACTCACCCTCTGTTAAGGATTTCTCTTCATTTTTTAACACAATACCAACATTTCTCCTATGACATTTTGTTTTCTACAGTTCATTTGCTGATAGAGCCCTCAAAGTGTTCATGGACACTGTATACTCTGTGATCTCTGAAGTTCATAATTCATTGTAACCTTTTTACAGAATACTTTTAGGAAACTTGGCTAGGTGTGAAATTCTTGGCTCCTCTAATCCTTCCATGAAAATCTTTTTTTTTTTTTGAGACAGAGTCTTGCTGTGTGGGCTAGGCTGGAGTGAAGTGGCATGATTTTGACTCACTGCAATCTCTGCCTCCCAGGTAGAGGCAGAGATTCTACTATTCTCCCACTTCAGCCTCCTGAGTAGCTGGGATTACAGGTGCGTACCACCATGCCTGGCTAATTTTTTGTATTTTTAGTAGAGACAGGTTTCACCATGTTGGCCAGGCTGGTCTTGAACTCCTGACCTCAAGTGATCTGCTTGCATCGGCCTCCGAAAGTGCTGGGATTACAGGTGTGAGCCACTACGCCTGGCCTGCTTGTTCTTATGTTTCTTCTGGTTTTATTTCTAAAATAATTATTTTTCTTTTTCCTAATCCTTTAAATTCTACTAGTTCTTTATACATTCTGTTTTTCACCAAATTATCCCTTATCTTTTCTGATTTCTGTTGCTCTTTCACAGTTTCTAAAAATTTCTTAGTTTCTTTTCACTTAATTTGTAATATCAGATTATTATCATCTGCTTCATCTGCTTGGTGGCTCTGTTTTTGTAGTCACTGTTATCTGCATGTGTGTTACTCAGTTACTTGTTTTTGTATTTTTCTTACAATATGTTTTCATAAGGCTCCGTTGCTCTTGTTGAAATAGATGGCCTTGCTGTGCTTTTACGGCAAGTTCCTGGAGGGAATGGGAGAAGATGGGTAGTTACCATGAGGTGACACTGGTCTCTCTGCACGGTCACCTCCACAGTCTCCATAGTCATGACACTGTGGAGTGCACAGTCATGGCACCTCCACGAGCTGCCGCCTCTGGACGCTGACCTGAGTTTCTGAACCTTCTTTCTCCTCTCACCCCCACTTTCTTGCCCCATTGACTTTGAATCCTACCAAAAGCAGCTTTTTCTCTGAGTGGGTCCCTGTCCTCCGGCAGGGAGGTTTTGGGAGGCATTTCTGACTTCCTCAAGAGCCCGCGCCAGCCCTGACCGACCTCTGCAGACTGTAAGTGGATTCCCATGGGCTTTTTTTATTCTTGCCCACCAACTGGAACCTGTGGAGCCTTCTGTTTCATTGTTCCCCTTGCTGAAGATTCAACGCAGAGTGCGGTCCTCATCGTTTGAGGGGCAGCCACTTCTTGGAGATTTCTTTGTCTGGCACTCTTAGGCTCTTAGGACATGAAAACCCTTCTTTCTTTTCCCCCAACTGCCTCTGCCCAGCAAGACTCGCACAGCGGAGGTGGGAGGGAGCTGAGCAATGTACTGCCAAACCATGTGAGGAAATTAAAAACATGACCCAAAATGAGGGTGGGTGCAAATGAGCCGAGGTACCACTGCCAAACCGGGCATTTAAAACAGAAGTGGATTCAGTGGGTCCCACAGGTCCTGCTGGTGGTGCTGGTCTGACCCCACACCCTCAGATCCCGAGGTGCTGCGTAACCTGAGTTTGTTGATGATGTGATCAGATTTGTTATTTTGCTGTCACCCTAGTTGCCCTATTTTTCTGAAGAAATTTAGAGATTAAAAAAACCCGTGCCATCATGATCTTTCTCAGAGTCCTCACCACCCCGCCCCCAACTTCTGTTCTTAAATGCCCTTGTGTGGCCATGGTACCTCAGCTGATCATTTGCACCCACGCTACCTTTTCTAATTGCCTCACATGGTTTGCTCCAACCCCTCCCACCTCTGCTGTCCCTTGCTGCCAGCCATCTCTGGGTGATTTATTTATTTATTAATTTATTTAGACAGAATCTCACTCTGTCACCCAGGCTGGAGTGCAGTGGCACCATCTCAGCTCACTGCAACTTCCGCCTCCTGGGTCTCAAGCAATTCTCCCGCCTCAGCCTCCCGAGTAGCTGGGATTACAGGTGCATGGCACCATGCCCAGCTAATTTTTGTATTTTTAGTAGAGATGGGGTTTCGTCATGTTGACCAGGCTGGTCTCAAACTCCTGACCTCAGGTGATCCACCCACCTCGGCCTCCCAAAGTGGTGGGATTACAGGCGTGAGCGTTGCTCCCGGCTTTCATTTATTTTTTGGTCATTCGTTAGGTCAACAAATATTGACCAAGTGCCCTGTATGTGGCTGGCTCTGTGCCAGACCCCAGTCCCCAGCTGGGTCTGCGTGTTCTCTGTCTCCTGTTAGCAGACATATGACTGTCGACATGGCCCCAGGCAGAACACAGGCCTTCTGATCTAGGCAGACACACCCCAGGGGTGCTGTGGGCAGCAGCCACAGTGACCAAGATCCCCAGAAATGAGCCATCAGCCAAGCACAGCTAACCTCCAGTGTCTGTTCTCTGGGCACATGCACACGTTTCCGTGTCTCCTTACTTGGGTACCCAAGTTCTGAATGGCCGAGGTTCTGCCATAAACTCTCTGTGGGATCTCGAGCAAATCATTCCTGTCCTCTGAGCCTCAGTTTTCTCTTTGGCAAAATGAAGGCGCTGGACTAGAGCAGGGGCTAGCAAATGTTTTCTCTCAAGGGCCAGAGAATAAGTATTTTAGGCGTCGTGGATCGTAGTCACGGTCACAGCTATTCCCCTCTGATCTCGGAGCTCAATAGTAGCCATAGATAATAGACAGCAAAAGGCAATGTGTTCTTTTCCCCACATTTTCTTTACAGAACTAGGGCCACAGCTTCCCAACCGCTGGACTAGACCCTGAGCTCTGAGGCTCCCTTGCCACTCTGACATTCCGTTGATCCAGGATGCTGTGAGGCATTTGTTCAGGAGGTCTCTGCCTTCCCAAGGGTCTTTCCAACCTTCTGCTTAGCCCAGCGCTCTCCAGGGCCCCTCCATGCTGAACACAGGCTGAGTCCACCTGGTGGGGGGGGGTGTAGATATTCACCTCCATCCCACCCCCACCTCTCCCTTTTTCCTGGAGCCAGGAGCTAGGAATACTCTTGTATGGAATTAAGGGCACAGTGGGAATGAAGTGAGGGCTAAGGATGTGTAAACTCAGCAGGGCGCCTTTGGGGGCAAACCAGCCAACCAGAGGAAAGATAGGTAGTGGCTTTGGCATTGAGCCTCCATGGGCGATGATCGTCCTGCTGAACCAAGGCCCTGGAGAGACCAGCAAGGAAGAAGGACACGCACCAGAACAATCCCCTTGTGTTTTCACGGGTTCCCATCCAATACGAGCAGCACAAGGATTCCCTCAATGTTTAGGGTTTGTCATTGCTTTTCAGCTCTTCAGGTACAAGGCAAAGGAGTATGGCGGTTGCTCCCTTTGAAGGTGTAAATGCCTTCACAAGGCTAAGACACTCAATAGGGCTGATCCAAGGAATGTGTCAGAGCCTCCTGGGCAGGCACGCTGTTGTGGAAGCAACCCGCCTTGCTCTCAGCTGGCCTCATCTGGCCATCGCAGACAGAAAGCCCACTGCATGACTCAGCAGGGACCATCAGTGGATCTTCTGTCAGACAAACCAACAAGACCATTCCTAGAAAAATGTACATTTCTAAGGCTGGGCAGTGGCTCAAGCCTGTAATCTCAGCACTTTGGGAGGCCGAGGTGGGTGGATCAGTCAAGGTCAGGAGTTCGAGACCAGCCTGGCCAACATGGCGAAACTCCCTCTCTACTAAAAATAAAAAAAGTAGCTGGGTGTCATGGCACATGCCTGTGATTCCAGCTACTCAGGAGGCCAAGGCAGGACACTCACTTGAACCCGGGAGGCAGAGGTTGTAGCAAGCTGAAATCACTCTACCGCACTTTAGCCTGGGCAACAGAATGAGACTCCATCTCATAAAAGAAACAAAAGAAAGAACAATGTATATTTCTGTGTGAATATAAAGTCAGGGTACACATAGCGAGAAGGAAGGGAGAAGAAACATGGTACCACGATTATTGTAAAACAGTGCTGGGAAGAATGGCGGGGGCGGGGCAGGCCGTACAAGGAATGGTCCAATCAGCATCCAGAGAGAGGGTTTAGAAATAATAAACCCATCTGAAGAGGTTCCGTTTAATGAGAGTGAGCTCCCATGGCTGGTCTGTGCTGCCCCTTCCAGCTCCACAGTCTCGTTTCACACATACGTTAGGCGCCCAGTGCAGACTGAATGAGGAGAGGTCCAAACCTCAGGGACCCTGGGTGGCAAATAGTCCCAAAGGTTGCTTCAGTACCAGGCTCTAGGAGAATAATCTTCATCCTTTTTCTTTAACTAAAGGGGGAAAGGCCAGGCGCAGTGGCTCACGCCTGTAATCCCAACACTTTAGGAGGCTGAGGTGGGCAGATCACACAGGTGTTCGAGACCAGCCTAGCCAACATGATGAAACCCTGTCTGTACTAAAAATACAAAAACTAGCCAGGCATGGTGGCGGGCGCCTGTAATCCCAGCTACTCGGGAGGCTGAGACAGGAGAACTGCTTGAAACTGGAAGGCAGAGGTTGCAGTGAGCTGAGATCATGTCCCTGCACTCCAGCCTGGGCAACAAGCGAAACTCTGCCTCTAAATAAATAAATAGATAAAAATAAAAAATAAATGGTGAAAAATCCTCTTTGTGGGTTTGGGAGTCTCCATCTACGTATCAGTTTGGGAGCTGTGTTGTGGGATGAACGGGTGGCATGTCCTGGGGGATGATCAGTGTCTCAGACTGTTGTTGTGGATGGAGCCTGGGCCTCAGTATCCCCACTGGTAAATGGGCCCAGGAATTGGGTGATGGTTTATGGCACTTTCAACTCTCATCCTCCGCTGCTTTCCAAATCATTACCGTGAGAAGCTGGACGAGATGACCACTGTATGACCAAGTGTTGATGGCCCTGTGTCACAGTGCCCCTCCTTGTCATGACCAAGTGTTGATGGCCCTGTGTCACAGTGCCCCTCCTTGTCATGACCAAGTGTTGATGGCCCTGTGTCACAGTGCCCCGTTGTCATGACCAAGTGTTGATGGCCCTGTGTCACAGTGCCCCTCCTTGTCATGACCAAGTGTTGATGGCCCTGTGTCACAGTGCCCCTCCTTGTCATGACCAAGTGTTGATGACCCTGTGTCACATTGCCCCTGATTGTCATGACCAAGTGTTGATGACCCTGTGTCACAGTGCCCCTCCTTGTCATGACCAAGTGTTGACGGCCCTGTGTCACAGTGCCCCTGATTGTCATGACCAAGTGTTGACGACCCTGTGTCACAGTGCCCCTCCTTGTCATGACCAAGTGTTGATGGCCCTGTGTCACAGTGCCCCTCCTTGTCATGACCAAGTGTTGATGGCCCTGTGTCACAGTGCCCCTCCTTGTCATGACCAAGTGTTGATGACCCTGTGTCACATTGCCCCTGATTGTCATGACCAAGTGTTGATGACCCTGTGTCACAGTGCCCCTCCTTGTCATGACCAAGTGTTGACGGCCCTGTGTCACAGTGCCCCTGATTGTCATGACCAAGTGTTGACGGCCCTGTGTCACAGTGCCCCTGATTGTCATGACCAAGTGTTGATGACCCTGTGTCACAGTGCCCCTCCTTGTCATGACCAAGTGTTGACGGCCCTGTGTCACAGTGCCCCTGATTGTCATGACCAAGTGTTGATGACCCTGTGTCACAGTGCCCCTCCTTGTCATGACCAAGTGTTGATGGCCCTGTGTCACGGTGCCCCTGATTGTCATGACCAAGTGTTGATGGCCCTGTGTCATGGTGCCCCTCCTTGTCTTTGCAGTGCTGTTGGGGATTTCCAGGTGGACGACAAGACCAAAGCCTTACTCAAGTACACTGGGGAGGTGACGTGGATACCTCCGGCCATCTTCAAGAGCTCCTGCAAAATTGACGTGACCTACTTCCCATTTGATTACCAAAACTGCACCATGAAGTTCGGTTCCTGGTCCTATGACAAGGCGAAAATCGATCTGGTCCTGATCGGCTCCTCCATGAACCTCAAGGACTACTGGGAGAGCGGTGAGTGGGCCATCATCAAAGCCCCAGGCTACAAGCACGACATCAAGTACAACTGCTGCGAGGAGATCTACCCCGACATCACGTACTCGCTGTACATCCGGCGGCTGCCGCTGTTCTACACCATCAACCTCATCATCCCCTGCCTGCTCATCTCTTTTCTCACGGTGCTCGTCTTCTACCTGCCCTCTGACTGCGGCGAGAAGGTGACCCTGTGCATTTCCGTCCTCCTCTCCCTGACGGTGTTTCTCCTGGTGATCACGGAGACCATCCCCTCCACCTCGCTAGTCATCCCCCTGATCGGAGAGTACCTCCTGTTCACCATGATCTTCGTCACCTTGTCCATCGTCATCACTGTCTTCGTGCTCAACGTGCACTACAGAACCCCGACGACACACACGATGCCCTCCTGGGTGAAAACTGTATTCTTGAACCTGCTCCCCAGGGTCATGTTCATGACCAGGCCAAGCAGCAACGAGGGCAGCTCTCAGAAGCCAAGGCCCCTGTATGGCGCCGAGCTCTCAAATCTGAATTGCTTCAGCCGCGCAGAGGGCAAAGGCTGCAAGGATGGCTACCCCTGCCAGGACGGGATGTGCGGCTACTGCCACCACCGCAGGATCAAAATCTCCAATTTCAGTGCCAACCTCACAAGAAGCTCCAGTTCTGAATCAGTGGACGCTGTGCTGTCCCTCTCTGCTTTGTCACCAGAAATCAAAGAAGCCATCCAAAGTGTCAAGTATATTGCTGAAAATATGAAGGCACAGAACGAAGCCAAAGAGGTAAGGATGTGGCTATCATACGTTGGCCATTCGTTCATCATTCAGCAGACATTCATGGGTACTTCATGCGGCAAGGCTTAGGGTAGGGGTTAAGAAATTAGACTCCAGGGTCAGGAGCATGTGGTAAGACCAGTTATATGTCCTTGGGTAAGTTGCCTTGGCTCTCTGAGCCTGTTTTCTCATCTGTAAAATGGGACAATAAAGCTCGTAGCATGTGGTACCCTGAAGCGGGCTGCACCATGCAAACACCTGATGCCAGGAATGCAGATTACAGGCTCGGAAATGGCGTGGGGCCAGATGACCTCCAGTTACTATTGGTTAACTGAGGTTAGACTTTTAGTTTTACTTTATTTTTATTTATTTATTGAGACACAGTCTCACTCTGTTGTCAGGCTAGAGTGTAATGGTGCAATCTCGACTCACTGCGGCCTCCACCTGCTGGGTTCAAGTGATTCTCCTGCCTCAGCCTCCTGAGCAGCTGGGACTACAGGCAGGAGCCCCCATGCCCAGCTAATTTTTCTATTTTAAGTAGTGAAGGGGTTTCACCATGTTGGCCAGGATGGTCTTGATCTCTTGACCTTATTATCTGCCCGCCTCAGCCTCCCAAAGTGCTGGGATTACAGGTGTGAGTCACCGTGCTGGGCCAATTTTTATTTATTTATTTTTGAGACAGGGTCCTGCTCTGTTTCCCAGGCTGGAGTGCAGTGGCACAATCTTGGCTCACTGCAGCCTCTGCCTCTGGGATCAAGGGATTCTCCCACTTCAGTTTCCCTGAGTGGCTTGAACTCCAGGTGCCCCACCACCATGCCCTAATTTTTTACATTTTTTTGTAGCGATGGGGTTTTGCCATGTTGCCCATGCTGGTCTTAGACTCCTCGACTCAAACAGTCTGCTCACCTTAGTCTCCCAAAATGCTGGGATTACAGGCATGAGCTACCACAGCTGGTCTTTATTTTTACTTTCCAATTGTACATATGTTCTCATTGAGGAAGAATTTACATGGAGTAAACTGCACACCTCTTCAGTGAACATCTCAGTGAAATTTTACACCATGTGTACACCCATGTAACCATGATCCAGGTAAAGATATAGAACACTCCCAGTGCCCCAGAAAGCTCCCCAGTGAACATGCCAGTCAGTATCTTCCTCCCTGCTTCATGCCCACCAACCTGGCTTGGGCTCAGTGGCTCACAACTGTAATCCCAACACTTTAGGAGGCCAAGGCAGGTGGATGGCTTGAGATCATGAGTTCGAGACCAGCCTGGGAAATATGGTGAAACCCCATCTCTAACAGAAATACAAAAATTAGCCAGGCATGGTGGCATGTGCCTGTAGTCCTAGCTACTCAGGAGGCTGAGGTGGGAGGCTCACTGGAGCCCAGGAAGGTGAGGTTACAATGAGCCATGATCATGCCACTGCACTTTAGCCTGGGTGATGACAGAGTGAGGTCCTCTCTTAAGTTAATTAATTTTAAAAAGAACCATTATCCTGACTTATTTGATATTGATTAGTTTGACCTAGTCTCTTTTTTTTTTTTTTTTTTTGAGAGGGAGTCTTGCTCTGTCACCCAGGCCAGAGTACAGTGGTACAATCTCTGCTTACTGCAACCTCTGCCTCTCAGGTTCAAGCAATTCTCCAGCCTCAGACTCCCGAGTAGTTAGGATTACAGGCATGTGCGACCACACCCAGCTATTTTTAGTAGAGATGGGTTTTGCCATGTTGGCCAGGCTGGTCTTGAACGTCTGTCCTCAGGTGATCTGCCCATCTAGACCTTTCAAAGTGCTGGGATTACAGGTGTGAGCCACTGCGCCTGGCCAATTTTAGCTATTATTGAGCTTCATATAAACGGAATCACATAGTATACAAACTCTTAAGTGTCTGACTCTTCATTAAACATAATATCTTAAGGTTTATTTTGTTTCTGTTTCTTTGTTATTAGTGTGTAATACTCCACAATATGACTATAATACTATCTTCTGTTTATTTGTTTTACATTTGTTGGACATTTAGTTATTTCTGACTTGAGGCTATTATGAATAAAACTGCTACAAACATTTATGACTTTTGGTGAATGTATGTGCTCATTTCTCCTGAATCTCTACCTAGGAGCGGAATTGCTGGATCATTGGCCTCAGCCTCCTGAGTAGCTGGGACTACAGGTGCACGCCACCACACCCAGCTACATTTTGTATTTTTAGTAGAGAGGAGGTTTCACCATGTTGGCCAGGATGGTCTCAATCTCTTCACCTTGTGATCCACCTGCCTTGGCCTACCAAAGTGCTTGGATTACAGGTGTAAACCACTGTGCACAACCTTATTATTATTATTATAGATGGAGTTTCACTGTTATTGCCCAGGCTGAAGTGCAGTGGCGTGACCTTGGCTCACTGCAACCTCTCCCTCCTGGGTTCCAGCGATTCTCCTGCCTCAGCCTCCAAAGTAACAGATTACAGGTGTGAGCCACTGTAATCTGACTGAAATTACTTCTGTTTTCTCCATAAATCTTGTGCTTGAACTTAAGAATGGGGAACTTATGTCAAGTACTAAGAATAGGAAAGATTTACACTAAATAATGTCATGTGCCTGGTGATTCCATGACTATACTACTGAGGTTACCAGGGTCACACTCAATGACTTTATGAGAAGCTCTGCTTTAAAATTAAGTGTCTCTGCCTTAAGTTGTTTATCAGCAAGGAGCTAATTACCAGATAACTTTATCTCTTGACCCACTGTAGGTAATTAATATTGATAAGGTATGTCCATTTCATTGTAATGGAGCCTCTTTTCTTCAGCTGTGGCAGGCATACCACAGTGACTGGGATAGGAGGGAGATAGCCACAGCCGCCCCACCTCCTCACCCCCACTCATCAGAGCAACTGCGAGCACATCTTGTGACCACTAATTTAGCCGAAGAGTCAAGCATTTCTTTAAATTCAATTAAAGTGGTTGCTGGACATCATAAGCAATTACAAGTAAATGATCAGTGAAAATCTATTTGTCTAATACTGGTAATTTTGCTGACATTCTTTATCCTTTACCCGCTTTAAAAATAATTTCTTTACTAAAGGTTGAGATCTAAGTACCCATACTCTAGTCTCCTTTGTCAGGCTATTAGAAATTACTTTTATTCTAAAAATTATTTCTTAGATACCATACAAGGAGTTAGAGTTTCAGAAGGGCCTAAGGCATGGAGACAGACATATAAAAAACTTACAATTAAAAGAGAGGTCACAACTTAAATACAAGGCAGGTAGATTGGTGAAATGACCTGAATGCAGCAATAGGGAGTGGTGGGGTCTGTGGCAAACTGATGGCACATGGTCCATCTCAAGGGGCAGCTACTGCTCACCTCTGGTCATATTTCCACATGGGCATGTGAGCCCATTATTGCTGGATCTTTCAGTTTTTTTTTTCTCAGAGAAGGCAGAACTCTGGCCAGCAAGCCACCAGATCGTCTATGAGAAAAGCAGCAAGTGTTAGAGTCAAGGTGCCAACTCAGTGCTCAGAGGGGAAAGTCGAGCTGTTGGAAGGATTCCCTCTTTTCCTGAGTAACTGACACTCTGCTGTTTACACAAAGTGTTTCAGAGATATGTTAATTTCCTGCATCTCTGGCTCCAGCTTGGCTGGTTTTAACTGTCCCTAGCTCTGAGGAGCCTAGACTGAAGCCTAGGCTGTTTTCCCAGAGCATCTCCTGAGGGCACTGGGAGCCTGTGAATGACCATCCCTGGACACACTCACTGGCTCCTAAGGTCGGAGAACTGTTCAGCCTTCCCTGGCTGTTCTTTTTTTAAAAAATCGTTCACACCAAGAAGCAGCTTCTTTCCTGCTTCTCGAATCTCCGCCTGGTTCAGCCTGCCTGCCTCCACTCTTGCCTCCACTGTGTCCATCAGGGTGACACGGAAGTCCAAAGGGTGTCCACTTCTGTCCCCCGGGCCATCAGCAGCCGCTCATACACAAGTGGGTCCGGTGCCCCCATCAGCTCCTCCAGCTTCTCCCGAGTGGGCAGCAGCAGCTGCCAGGGTGGCCTAGGTGGAGGCTATGGCTGGGCCAGTGGCATGGGCTTGGATGGCATCACTGCCATCACAGTTAACCAGAGCCTGCTGAGCCCCTTAACCTAGAGGTGGACCCCAGCATCCAGGCTGTGCACACCCAGGAGAAGGAGCAGATCAAGACCCTCAACAGCAAGTTTGCCTCCTTCATTGACAAGGTGCATTTCCTGGAGCAGCGGAACGAGGTGCTGGAGACCAAGTGGAGCCTCCTGCCGCAGCAGAAGACGGCTCAGAGCAACGCGGACAACACGCTAAAGAGCTACATCAGCAACCTTCGTGGCAGCTGGAGACTCTGGCCCCGGGGAAGCTGAGGCTGGAGGCGGGGCTAGGCAACAGGCATGCGCTGTTGGGGAGCTTCAAGAACAAGTAGGAGGATGAAGTCAATAAGCGAACAGAGATGGAGAATGAATTTGCCCTCATCAAGAAGGAAGCTGGCCGGGCGCGGTGGCTCAAGCCTGTAATCCCAGCAATTTGGGAGGCCGAGACGGGTGGATCATGAGGTCAAGAGATTGAGACCATCCTGGTCTAACATGGTGAAACCCCGTCTCTACTAAAAGTACTAAAAATTAGCTGGGCATGGTGGCGGGTGCCTGTGGTCCCAGCTACTCGGGAGGCTGAGGCAGGAGAATTGCCTGAACCCAGGAGGCGGAGGTTGTGGTGAGCCAAGATCGTGCTATTGCACTCCAGCCTGGGTAACGAGCGAAACTCTGTCTCAAAAAAAAAAGAAGAAGGATGCAGAGGCCAGGCGCGGTGGCTCACACCTATAATTCCAGCACTTTGGGAGGCTGAGGCGGGTGGATCACACAGTCAAGAGATCAAGACCATCCTGGTCAACATGGTGAAACCTTGTCTCTATTAAAAATACAAAAATTAGCTGGGCATGGTGGTGCACACCTGTAGTCCCAGCTACTCAGGAGGCTGAGGCAGGAGAATCGCTTGAACGCAGGAGGC